ATTTTTCAAAGTCACATGAGTCGGTCTAGGTCATCCACCCCACGTGACGTCATAGTGGTGGGGGGAGGCTTAGAACCGGCTCAAATCTCCTACTCTTTTGGTATAAAATGGAACTTTGTGTTTTTCAACAACATTATAATAGTCCCCATCAAAGTTGAATGAAATATCAGCAGCTTTACAACGTGTCGCATACGATCTTTTACGAGAATTGTTTATTCTTTTACCTCCAACAAACTTGCAGATGATGCTGTTGTATTGTTCTGCGATATTGGTATCCAGGTCCGCTATTAAGCTGGCCGCATTGAAAACTAAGCGGTTAATACAAACTTCAATATCGTCCAATAGACCATATGCTCTCATGCTGGGTATATGATCAACTCCATCTAATCTTGGAGAACACTTGAAATATGATATCTCCTGACATCTTTCATGCTGTCCAAATACATGTGATGGGACATTCTTGAGATCTTTGCATAGGTTCTCAACTTTTTGGACCAATGAAGTTTTTTCTTTAATCCTGAACATCGTAACAGATTTTATTGAAGTGCGTATTCTACGGGCATTGCTTTCAACTAGTTTCCTTAGGCCTCGAGGTACTAGCAAATTTTTTGAATTACTTCGCTTTCTATCTGTAAATTGAATTATGATTATTATCTTCATTTTATTGTCAGAATGAATAAATAAATAAATACCACAAATTTCTCGGATCTTCTTCAAAAAATTCCTCATCAAATGATTGCGACACTCAATTTTTTGTATCATAAGTGTTCCAATCAATTTGTGGAATTTTAAACCATGCATTTCCATGCTTCGTTTGAAACCCTCAACTATGACATCGGATTCCATACTGGTTGATGATTCACTCCAATTTTTGTAGCATTTGTGTTCAGGTAAAGGAATATTCTCATGTACTGCGGAACGCGAGCACACGACACAAAACTTATTTCTAACGCCCAGGAATGAAATTTTTTTCGTTCTAGCACCAATTATACAGGCCTGTAAAATAAGAATATAATAATGATATATTCGGTGCACTCAGCAACTGAGTACCTACTACGCCTGAAGATGCATTATAATTTACGGAGTATTACTCCAAACCCCGTCAGCTACAACGGTAATCATTGGAATACCGTTTTCATCGACCTCTCTTAGTTCTTGAGCTATTCGAGCCTCTTCTTGACCTGCTTCCTCCATGACCTTCCAAGCAGTCTCTTCAATGATATCAGCTACATTTTCGTGGTGTTGCTGATAAGTAGAGTTACGCATGAACGAGAGAGCATCTCGTTGATTGAAGAGTATCCACTTCCGGTTGAAACTGTGGCCAACGCTAAAACGCTATTTATGTGCATTTCCCCATCGGTTTCTTCTATGAGATGAATGGTTCTTTCAATATTGTACATTTTGCATACAAAACTTATTTTGGTTTTCAAACCCATTTTATATTCATGAATTGGATACACATCACCGAATGTACAATCGAATGGTGGATGCTTCGATATTTCTGCGATTTGCTTTAATAAATATCCAATATCTGCCAAACGTCGCCCGTGTAGAGATACACCTGTATACAAACTGAAAAAAAATATGTAGGTTCATATGAAAAAGATCAGAACGAATATATTTCTACCTCTGGGAAGTATTGACAGTGGTTTCCACAATTTCAATGGGTGAAGCTACGGCAGAGACATCTTGACTACACATTGGACGAACATCATCACTGAAAAATAAATGTTTATTTGATCTTCTGGTTCGTATGCTGGCGTATTCACAAAAAAGTACTACTAGGTATGTTTCATGTTTTAATGGATTACCTTCCCGAAACTTGAACAAATCTAATTGGAAAAGGGGAAATGGACTCCTCGCTGTTATTAGAGTTGTCGGTGGTTGACTTTTTCCTAGAGAAAACAACGAAGTAATTATTTTTCTACAACCTCCTACTACAGGTTACTACTACTACTACGAATCCGATTCACACATAGCCAATACCTCTAAATAACCAATTATTTCATTGTCGAAAATATAATATGAAATACTCCTAATAAAAAAGGTGTAACTTTCTCAACGATATCACTTGTTTGGAAATGGATCTATATTTATTTTATACTTATAACGTTGAATTATGGATAAACGTAATTATTATTAACAATCGATAATTTCATTATATCATTGTATAATTTTCAAAACAATTTAGTTGGGATAATTTTTTTTCTTTTCAAAAATTCGAAAAACAATAGTCAGGCACTTGAGGAATATTTTTTTGAAGCGATCGGTGCAAGTTGCATGAAAATCGGATAACTGGTTGAGAAACTATAAGTAAAATACGTTTCAAGTGGGCATGGATTCCTCTTAAGTCAGGGTAGAAAAAAAATATTAAATTTGTTCAAAGGTAGAATATTTTCATCTCGGAAAATACAACAGAATGTTATTCAAAGAAATTGTTCAGGATTGACAGTGATAATCAAATTCGCAATTCTCGAAAATTCACCTGGACCTATATTTTTGAAATCAACTTCGCCTTCGTTGAAATACTATTCAGCAGCATTCAACACTTTCTCAAATTGTTTTAAAGGAGGCTCATTGTGATGGTTTGCATATGGGAAACACCAAAGCGTGAAATTTGTATTCTAGATCCTCATGAATATGTTTCAGAGTAATAAATCTCAACACAACTGATCAAATCTTTCCCTGAGTACTCAAACAATCTATTGTTTGACTATTTGGCTTTTTATAACTCATAACTGTTGTGATTTCTTGTTCATTCGAATTATGTCATCACAAATACGTCATCCAGAGTTACCCGACAAAGTCAAATTTAATTTTGTTTTGTGGAAATGTATGTATAACGATACGTGAAGCTGCAGATTTTTTTCAATGAATGATATCTAGATAAAAAAGTTTTCAACGGACAGTAGAATTTTTCAACATTTCAACATTTCGAGTAGATGGGATCATTACAAACAATCACAGTATAGAGTATACGAAATATGTATTAACAGACGAAAACCTGCTCGAGGCAGTTATCAAAGACCCAAGGGGTTGAATGATTGGAAATCGTAATCTGGATAAGTTGTGGGTGGCTGATTCATATTTTCTGTGAATTTTAGATGAGGGGAGGCAATATGATGCACTGATACTGACGACCTAGCTTCGAACTCTCTGTTATCTTGGGTATTACTTGACAAGGTCAATAAATCCTGACTTACAGCTTCGGCTTCGTCACCAACTGAATCTTCATTCACCACAATTCATTTCAGCATTTGATTATATAAATGAAATTAGATTCAACAAATACTGCTAGGGTTACATGTGAACCTAAGAGTTTGCAGATCAATCTCATTCATATTTTTATATTCTACTTTCAAAAATGTAAAATCTATTCTTTTTGTATACCTGCTAGACTGAATGATATCCATTTGACATATATGCCATTTTATTCTGGATGACAACTAATATCATATTATATATCAGATACACAAAATGATATTTGATTGACTTTGATGACCCTTCTTATGGGAGAACTATTGTCGCAAAAAAAAAGTAAATTCAATAATAGGTATCCTAATTTGCATGATCTGAATGAGAAAAAGTTCTAAATGATGAAGAAGTGATGTTTACAATCGATATCTAATATTTGTTTTGTGTGGAAATTTCTTCGAACATATAAATCAAACAAAGTTCTGGGCATGATCTGTATAGGCGGGTTGGTTGTCTTGGTTCTTCTTTTACTGTGCATGCTGTTTTCGGCGAGTGCATTGGCTTGGGATGTGGGGGTTGAGCAAACCGGCCATCGGATGCCTAACCCCCCATTAGCAGGTTAGCAAACGTTTGCGCTCAAGTGATGATTCACCAAAACCAGAGGCGAAAAAGCCCTGCACGACTGTATTCAAGGCATCGTAGGTGTAGCTGACGTGCAAAAACCCTCATATGGAAAGGTTGTTGTTAGTATCACGGTGGGAATCTTGCAACTTGACTATCCGACTACCTCATTAACAGAGCATACACTTTGTGCCTGACCCGCTGGGGACCGAATCAGGTTTTTAGAGTTCGACAGAGCCGTACTCTCACCATCTGACCTGAAAGACAACTCACCGTAAAAACTAATCGGCTTCGTTATGAAACTGGGTTTATTTGGTCGAGTTTGAATAGGTGTGAGCTACAATAAACATTTGCATGTTGCGGTGGAGGGTCGAATAGACCCAATCACTTTGGACCTAACTTAACATAACCCATGATCTGTATATCTGTGAGGAGTTTTTATTGTCATTTTTTGTTTTCTCAATGGTTTTCCAAACTTGTCCCTCCTTCAGATATCAATGGAGACGTAGGTTATAGCCAGAGAAGTTTTTCCAAATATTTTGAAGACAGAACTCATCAATAAACTGAAACCAGAATCATTTTTTAAATCTATATTCTTTACTATTTATATGAGAAATTATTGAAAGGATGTGATGTGTCCAGTCAATTTTAAATATGATCGAAATGAGAGCTAAACAGTACCTGAATTATTCTAGATCAAATATTTATATAAAACATTTTCGCTAATCGCTTTCGCTTTCCATAGCAACCATTTATTTCTTTGTTTCATTTGGTGAATTCGTTCGTCTGCCTTCTACAAAAAACGCATTTCGAAGAACGTATTCGATTATTCATAAACAGTTTTCTACTCTTCCGGCATACCTGTAGTCATATAGTTTCCGGAAACCAAACTTTATGAGGGTTTTGTTACGTGATACACCATAAACTGAACTTTATGTTTTTTTTTCGGGGCACAGAAGGACAAAGTCACTGTGCAGGAATACGATCTCATGAAATATAAAAAGAATGCATATTTTAAAATCGACGGTGCGGACGGTGACAGGGAGGTCGATTCAAAGGAGCAAAAAGGGGTTCTTTTGATATGTGCGCTCATTCTTTTTCTACAGTGAGAATTCATAGAAAAGTGAAATACAAAAAAATGTGTGGGTTATATAAAAAAATATATCGAAAATTATTATGAATTATTAAGTGAAATATGTGAAATACTTTTTTGGGAAAGACAGTTTTTGGCTTTCTACTACTCCATTTTGATACAAAAAAATGTGGGAACCTTCCAAAGAAAGAAAGGAAGTAATCAATTTTAAAATGAACAACTCTATACATGAATGTGTAGATCATGCAAAGAAGTAACTTTCAGACACAAACTGGAAGAAGAAGCCCTCCTGAAACAGCTACTTTCATATGAACATTGAATTACAAGAAATAAAAATTATTTCGAAACAAATACTTTCATATGAACACTGAATTTAACAAAAGATACTATTCTCTACTCAATTTGTATTCCAAACATTCGTTATGCTAGCATTCACAGGTATCATCCACAGGAGATCTACACTAAATTGATGGTAAAAAAATTGCACTTACATGGAACACTGTCATCCTCACTAGTAGACATCAATGTATCGCCATAAGACACTTGCCTTAGGGCTCTTCACTACCAATCTGAAAACATCATACGTAAAAACACATAATTCATTCACGAATTACGATTTTTTTTGTCACGGAATGAGTTTGATCTACTTATGTCATCGATGACATCGTAATGACATTCATCCACCTATTTGATTGAATTCCACCCAAGAGGAATCTTGTTTGAATAGAAAGGGTTATATTTTTAGGAGTGACTAATTTTCAGTAAAAAAAGTTTTTGGCTTTCTATTACTCCATTTCGATACAAAAAAATGTGAGAATTTTCCAAAGAAAGGAAGGAAGAAATCAAAGTAATCAATTTTGAAATAGATAACTCTATACATGGATGTGTAGGTCATGCAAAGGAGTAACTTTCCGACACAAACTGGAAGAATAAGCCCTCCTTTCATCATACCACTTTTGATTTTTTATTTTTTCATTTCAAAACATACAATTTTGTACATGGAATCCTTCTTTTTGCTTGTTCAACGGTTTAAAAGTCACTGATGCTTGTTGTGATATATAGGTATCCCATAGTTATTGGAGAAATAATCATTTTTTTATTTAATTGTCATTTGAAAGTTTCACAAAAAAATTGACCAGTCAAGTTCGAATTTGAAGCAACTTCATTTTCAAAGAATTCACAACCCATTATATAGGGTCGTTCATTAAGTGCCTACCATCTCTGAATTCAAATGAAACAACGTGTATGTGAGATATCATCAACATTTTTTATTCGTCTGACATTATGCCATTATGTGTGGAATATAAAATCGTTCAAATATTCGCTACGGCTTTTCTGGGTGAAGCGCATCCGAAACGTCAAATTTTCTATGACTCACACTCTCACACAAAGCGGTAATGTTTTTGGGAGATCTTGCGTTTCGTCAAAGTACGGATGTTGACCAATCGCTTACTGAACAAGTGGACTCAAATGTATCCACCACATTGTGAATAATCTCTCGGTAGAATGATTGTGGCGACCGTGAAATGAGCGGAGCGCGCGATACGTTGTCCAAACTAAATACACATTTTGATGAAACAATTTCATTATTTGAACGTGCTGTTGAATGCTATATCCATCTATAGTGATTTGTCAGAGAAGACTGAATGCATGACAGATGCAGGTACAACAAGATGGCCGTTATCAATTGTCAAAGTTCAGAAGTCCTTGTTGGAAGACCCTATACTAGGATTTATATACAGGCTATTTTTTAGCTGATCTCACCATTTCTATTTCGGAGGCAGTAAGACCTACAATGTCGAGTAAATTTGTGAGAAGTTTCCTATTTTGGGGAATTGAAATACTTTTCTTCAGAATTATTTTTTAAATGTTCGCCAAAAACTAGAATTGTCAAATTTCGTTTTTTTGTCCAACGTCTCCATTTGGAATGATAGGAAAAAAAGGCACAAGAACTTTCAACACTGCTTCATATTTGTCATATTCTGATATCAACCAATTCGTAGTGTGATA